GCACACTAGCACGCAACATACAAGCGATCAGGCGACTCTATGGCCGCCCGAACGCTTGTATGTATACAGCCCTCGCTGGCTGTTTAAAATGCTGTTAGTTTACAGCTTGTGAGATGTTTAAAAATGCCCACCCGCATTCAAGAGTGTCCCATTATTTACAAGGGCCGGACAGGAAGGGGTTAAATTAAAACCGTTTTTCCCATTTTGAACGGTGAAAGTTTTAAAATTAGTTTTACTGGAATAAAAAAATTTTTTTACTGGACCAGCGAATCTCCTTCCTGCTGCACGGGACCAGATGTAACACTGGTTGCATCACTTCCAGTCCCTCATCTGTCATTGCTCGGCTACAGAAACTGGGCAATAAGGTAATGGAGTGCAATCTGCGCTCCCATAGCTTATTTGGAGTGGAAAGGTGACACTAGGGGGTCAAAAGGACCCCTAATGTCACCACTAGTATGCTATCACATATGGGGCTTGTAAGGCCCCCATGTGATATAAGAAAAAAAAAAGTATAAAATAAAATGTAAAAAAATATTTAAAAAAAACAAAACAAAATATTTTTTTAAAGTCCCCCACGCAAGTGCGTGCATATTAACCTTTCGCTGCCAAGCCCTCTGGAACACTTTTAACCTCAGCTGGCCACACCGTTTTTGCCATTTATGACTTCTTGTTGCCATTTATGATGTGCAATGACTCACCGCCCAGCTTCCCGATTAGTCGGGAAGCTGGCCAATCAGGAAGCAGGGCAGAAAGTAATTACCCGCCCCCCCAGCTTCCTGATTGGCCAGAAAGCTGGCTCCATGATCCCTTGTCACCTATGGAACTATGGTTGCATATTGATTGTAGCACAGTGCTGGTACATAGTTGAGCACGTCGACGCACTGGTTCTATTCTAATAGCGCGGCACATATTTCTTGTTTTATTTCTTTATTTTTTTGCATGTGGAGGATATAAATTATCTAACCAAGGCATCCAGGGTGTACTATGCCTTGACAATAAATGTGCAAGTGTAGTAAAATATATAGCCCAGGAAAGAGAACATGTGTCATTTTGAGGAGCGGTTTGGACGCAGTTTATATCATATTTGAAACACCTTAAACTATATGACAATGTTATGTGAAACAACAAGTATAAGAAGTGTATATGAACATGTTCTATGAATGTGATATGATATCTGGTAATCAATGCTGTCGTACATATGGATAAGACTCTCCCAAGACACGTTCAGGGGAAATAACATCAATGTTTAAGATCAACATATGGGCAGATCCACGACTTGCTAGCAGCACTGCGTCTCTCCATGACAAATCTTTTAATAAGATCTATGATGTAACTATTATCCACATAGATTTAGATTGGCTGGTTTTAGGAACAGCAAATCTATATGGTGGATAACAGGTTATGCTATATTTCATTGGTGCACTAGAAAATCTAAAAATATATGTATACACAGTTTCTTTGTGGATACTGGAGTATGAGGCCTGTGAACGATTTATGAATTTACATTTGGAATCATGTGCATTATATGTAATAATCATGCCATTAGGTGGTACTGTGCAGAGACCTTTTTAGTGTTTTTAAAAAGGTGTATGTCTCTGTATGTAAATTATGAATTAAAGACATACTTTTGTTAATTTTTATTACTGCCTGTTACGATATCTCCATGAATTAAGGGCACTGCAAATGATATATTTAGGAGGTGTTTAGCCTAACAGGAATGAATTGTGAACTAGACAGAAATGGATTCGTTTTTGCCCTTATCTTTATATCGTATGTTCTAATTTAACCCATAAATAAGGAAAGAAAACATTTGTACAGTAATACACAAATAATAAAGTGAATGGAATAAGTAATCTTACCTAATAAGTTCTCTGTAAATACTGTCAATGTCTGTCCTCCCACACTCTGTAACTGAAAAGGATGTTCCCTTGGTGTAGTAACAAAGGATGGGGCTGGTTTTCCTCCTATATCCTGAATGCTGGCAAGCTCTTCATTCAGAGTAAAGGACACCTGTAATACCACAATAGTCAAATGAGTAAAAAATATATACATTTCACACACTTCATGATTCTCTTCCTTGTCAAACAAACTTCCACTAAGTATAATTATATGTAAAGTAATATTGCAA